TATATATATATATATATATATATATATATATATATGTAATAAAATACACAATTCTTAAAGAAATATATAACTTTATATCTATTATATATAATAATATAACTTTATATCTATTATATATTTCTTTATAGATTTACTTTCCAATATTTCAAAGTTTGACTTTAGATATGACAGGTGAATTTTTAAAATCCTATCATATTTTCAGTTTTCTTGAATTTTTCGATATTCCATATATATTATACTGCTTCAGCTCGTTTAAATCAGGACTTGTCATTGGTGTTAAAATATTGCCAATTAAAATTTTAGCGATTGCTAGCAAAAGTTATAGCCGAAGGTGTTGCTGAATCGATTCGAGAATCAATCATATTTCTCGTTGTAAGCTCCATTGCATAAAATATCAAAGTTTTTCTAATTGACATTTCAATTAACGTATTTTAAATTGCAAGAGCTGTTGATTGGTTTACTTTAAAACAGCTATTCCATATTCAAGTTAGAGTAGTTTTCCGGCAACTGTCTGACTATTGCCAGAGACTGGGACTAACTTTCATATCGAGCAGACAGGGAAACCAATATTTGTGGCTACATTTTTGTAAGGCCCGTCAAAGCGAGTGTAGCGTGAGTGCTGTAAGCCCACACACATACAGATGTAGCGAGATCGAGAGGCTGGCAGGCCAATTGGCCAGCTAGACACTTGACAGCCTTTGGCCTTTGGGGCCAGGCCTTATCAGGGGACACCCACAACAATAGCAGCTAAATGGTCAAGCGAGTTCATAAATTGTTCGTACGCCATGTGTTGGCATAATTACGGCATAATAACTGTGTGTGCACATGAGCGGGCCCAAAAGTGGATTGCCCAACCTTTTAATTTGTGGCAGGCAGCGGGCCAGCCTCACAGTTAGTTAACGGCCCAAAACGACAGTAGCAGCCACTGCAACAGCAACAGCAACAACAAGCAAAGTTAATTAACAAACTGCCAAAAATGTCAATGAAGGCCTTGTTGTTGTTGTAGTTGTTGCCGCCTGCTGCAGTTGCTCCTGTTGCTGTTGCTATTGCTGCTGCTGTTGTTGCTGTTGTTGCTGTTGCTATTTGGGCATCATAATTCCAATTCGATTTTTGCATATTGCCATAACAAGTTGCCATTGTCATGTGTCATGTAGCGACAGCAGCCATAAATAAATTACAAATGCAACAACATGGCATTGTATATTGCCCGATCGCTTGCTCTAACGCTCATTCAATGCTGCCCATAATTGTCAACAACAAAACAAAAGCATATACGAGCCCCACTCGACCGAGCATTAGCTGACACATCATTAACAAATTAAATTTGTCATCCCAATAGATACCTCTTACATATAATGTCACTTGAGAGTTGCCAAATGCTTCATCTGATAACACCGAAGTCCACTTCAATTAATTTTTAATTGAAACTCAATGAGTTGCGATATAGTTTAGTAGTGCACAAATATGTAGTAAATTATGATTTTTATTTTCATTAATATATGTAGAAGAATTAACAGAAATTTTAAAAATATTTGTAGTTAAATTATGATTGTTTGTTAATAAATACATTACACAATATTTTAATATATTTAATAGATTTAATGTATTAAAAATATATACCATAATATTTTATTATTTGTGCTTTCATCAATTAATGTCGAAAAATTGAAAACATATTGTTTTAGGTATTTTATAATTTTAAAAATATTTTTTTTAAATAAAATAAATAATTAAAAATAAATTTTAATGTTTTAATATATTGATTTGATACATTATTATTTTCAATTTTTTACTGGAAATTAAAAGCCATATTTTTCTTTTTAAAAAGAAATATAAAAAAAAATCGTTTAACATAATATGATTTTTAATGCACAAAAAAAAAAAAAAAAATAATAATAATACTAACAAAAATAACTTAATTCGAAACAAATCAAATCTCAATTAATTTTATTTGCTTTAACTGACATTTGATTATACTAAAATCTATTTAAAATACAAATATGTGTGTTTTAATTAATAAATATATTTTATTCACAAATGTGTTCGATTAATTACCTATAAATACTCTGAAAATATGTTGCAAAACCAGATATACAATATTATAATTTATTATCATAACGTGCCATGCCACACGCTTATCATATTTGTTTTGCTCTTCTGTTGCATTGCCCACAGGAGGATTTACTGATACATGGGGACTCCGTTTACGATATCATTGACAAACAGGATCACGCAACCATACAGGCCGAGCTAAATCGGAACGTGCCACCGCAGCCAGGTGGCAGCAACAGCAGCAGCGTTGGCGTCGGCGTTGGCGATTCGACAGCCAGCAATGGCACTGGCGGCGCCTCCAGTTTGGAGGGGGAGCATCGCATGTTTCTCTGTCGCATGAATGTTAGCCGCAATGCGCGACGGCAAATGCGTTTCGGTGATCAGAAGGTAAGTGCAACACACACACACACACTCAGTTGCTGTACATATGTGTGTGTGTGAGTAAGCGCGTGTAGTCTCTGACAGAAATTGATGAATGAATCACCTGGGAGCGTGTTGCGTGTAACACTTGGATACCAGAGAGTCGAAAGCCTGCAGTCAGAGTCACAGCTACAGCTACAGCAACAGCAACAGCAACAGTCGCAATGAATTATGCATGAGCCGGGCGCGCATGCGTCGTCTGCCAACCGGCTGCCCGGACTGGGGCTGGTCATACATCTTGCCTGCCAGCTATAGCTAGCTGGCCGAACGCCCAGACAGGGAGACAGACAGACGTACGCTTAACTATAAGCTGACAAACGATGACAGTTGATGTGAAACGGGTGGGTGCCGCGTTGCTGTTGACTGCTCTGATTGGCCGCCTCTTCTGATGACGATGATGATGATGACGACGACGAGGCTGATGATGATGATGTGAGAAAACAAAAAAGGCCGCAACAATATAAATGAATGCGAGCACAATATGAAGTTGTCAGCCAGTCAGCCAAGTACTTGGCTCAGCAGGCAACCAGGCAGGAAGACAGGCAGGCGGGCAGGCAGGCAGTCAGTCAGTCAGTGAGGCTAGCAGAGAGGCAGGTTGAACCAGACAAGACCAAATCTGTCAACGTGCTGCGAGCGAGTCCGAGACGCGACGCAGACGCGTCGCAATGATGTGAATGCTACTGTATGAAGCGCACTCACAATCTTGTGGGCGGTCGCTGGTCTTTCATGCATATCTTATATACTCTTTGTTGGTTTTGGTTTTCATTCTTTAGTTGTTGCCATTTTTGCAGTTGTGAAGTGCGCAGATGTGCGCTGCGAGTTATGGAGATAAGCCGAGGCGTTGACAGTTGCTGCAAACGTTTTTAATTAAGTTGAAAGTTGGCACTTTAATGAGGTGCAGGAAGTGCTGTTGCCTCTCGACTTTATATATACATATATTCTCCAAGATGTACCCACATGAGAGAAACCCACAGATGCAACAGCCAAAAAAAAAGATAAGCCACAAGTAATCCAGGTCGCAGGCTCCGCTTGCAATGACACCAGCTGAACGCTGATGGAAATATCAGAGACAGCAGCGATCATACTAGTCGAGTTTAGCAAGATATTTATCGGAAATTAAGATAAATAGCAGCCTCATTAAGCTTACGATACGATATCTTGGGTGTGGCTTGGACATGGGATTATTTGTTTTAGAGAGTTTTAATATTTATATATTTAGTTATTGGATCTGGCTCTAAATGCATGTTGATGTAATAAAATGTTTTGGGCCGTATTACTCATTGGGTTCACACGCTGAATCATAGAGCTGCTGCGTTCGATGACAAATGAAGGAGCGGAAGTTATAGGGGTTTCTGGAGGCCTATTTGCATATCGGTAAACTAGTTGGGATGCTCACTACTAAATGCTTAGAGCTTAGCATTTGTGTAGACTGTCGCCAGGGACTGGGACCCACATGAACTGGCAGCGATAACCCAGAGCGCAGACGAGAGAATGCGGCACATTCACCCGGCACTCGTTAATATGCAATAAAAATGGACCAATAAATAATTATGAATGAGGTCAGCATAGTTCAGTGCTAGTACCCAGGCAAAAAAAACGAAAAGAAGCAGAGGGAGAGGGAGAAAAACGATAGACAAAAGACCAAAAATAAATGCCTCCAGCTAGAGCTAAAGCAACAGCAACAACAGCAACAACAAGAGCAGACGATGGCGACAGAGTTGTGGCTGTGGCGCCTGCTCCCCAGTCTAAGGTCGTCTCATTTACCAAAAACCAGCACAGGCAACAACAGCGAACGGCGTCTGCGTCATCGATGGGTTGGGATCGGTTTCGGCATCGGAATCGGATTTGGTTTTGCTTTCGCAGTTGGATTTGGATTCGGGCTGCATTTGCATTCAAGCAGAAGACGCGGCCATAAGCTACGAAATGCAATTGCAATGGAAAACTAAATGCAGGCACGTTTTAATTGGGAGACAATGGCTGCGACTCCGACTGAGACTTCCATTGAGACTACCTGGCGTGTGAGTGTGTGCATGTGTGTGTGCTTTGCTGTGTGGAGTCAGCTCCAACTGTGTGTGACTCTCACTACGGCGTCCGCCTTGCGTATGCTGGCAGAAGGAAGAAACCAACAACATTTCAGTGATTGCCTTTTTTATACCCTGAACCCATTGAAAATGGGAAATCAGGGTATAATGGTTTTG